GAGATTTGTTAGGGTTTTGCCTTGATTTTCTTACTATAATTTAAGGTTTATTTTTCCTTAAAGTAAAAGACAAAACATTACCTTAAATGTTTTCACTTTTCCTGAAAAGAAAATATAATATTCTTTCATATTTGGTTTATTCTTTTCTTTTAGGAAAAGATTTTGGAGTAACTAATCATTTTCTAGTAAGAAAAGGTTTTAGGATTCTATAAATATAGGTTTGTTTCTTCTAACACAAAAACAAAAACATCCACAATGTAGTCGTTTAAGAGTCTTGTTTATGAGGAGATTTATTCTCTCTAAAGTTTCAATGTTTTTCTTTATATTAGTTTTGATATAATAATGTCACGACCTGAGCCTACACCCTGGACGTGGCCGGCACTCGAAGACCATTGCTGGTCCCCAAGCGAACCCTCATCCTGGCTGACTACAAGCGGAAAACTGATTCAAGCATACAAAGCTTAAAAACTGAAATAAAAGTTCATAAAACTTAAATACAAACTTTAAGTCCAAAGAAAACTCTGTATAATAAAATATATACAACTTGCCATAAAAAGGCAACTTTAGTCTTTAAAACATTTAATAAAATAAATGATATAGACTTCTCAACTATACTGACTATCTATGAAGCCTCTAACTGATAAAGATGGAAGTCGGGACAAGACCTACGACATCCTAACAATTCATATAACTGAAAGGTAAATGAAATCCTCCGAAAGCAAGGAGGCTCACCATAGCTAACTCGGACTCTCGGATGTATCAACGAAGCTCCTGTTGATGATCCTAAATACCTGTGTCTGCATCATGAGAAGATGCAGGCCAAATGGCTCAGTACGTGGAATGTACGAGCATGTAAGAGGAATTCTAAAACATAAACATAAGCTTGAAACTTGATAGAAATGAAACATACTTACCTCTTTTCAAACTTACTCAACTCAAGGAATACTCAAGGGTACTCAAAACTACTCAAACTTACTCAACTCAGAAGTACTCAAGGATAAGATACTCAACTCCGAGATTAGATACTCAACTCAAGGATATGATATTCGACTCAAAGATATGATATTCGACTCTGGATACTCAACTCTGGATACTTAACTTTGAATACTCAACTAAATATGACTGAACTCATTTCAATATAAAGCAATTTAAAACAAGTGCAATATAAAGAAACAAACTGTTTAAAAACATGCTGTCAAATCTGTGTGTATGCAAGGATACAACATAACTCTGAAATGTATATAAAAATACAATAAACTGATGTATATAAAAATACAATAACTTATGTGGGAGTTTCTCTAACCGACAACCATTACATAGGAGCTATAGTGATGATACATCGATCTACCTCACGCTGCCAGCGCATCCTATACCCGGCCAAAGGTATAGGACCTGAACTACTAATGGATCCACTAGTCTATGTGAAAAGGGTTCATCTAAAAAGTATGACCCTTTTCTAACCATGATGGCTACATGGTTTATGGGGGCTGTGAGTTGTGTGAACTCTTCCCCATATCGGTGCTCAATACTACTCCCAAAAATATACTAGCTCTTATGTTTTAAAAACATACTTCTTTCTGCTGCTTTGAGATAATTGCTCAAAAACTTAGCTTAAAGGCTATCTTGAAAATCTCAGTTTCCCTACTTGCTTCATTTAGAAAGCTATTACTCTTTTCTGAAAACTAGCCCGAAGGCCCTTTGGAAATCTCAGTTTCCGTTCTTATTTAAATGTGAAAACATTTATAAACTCTTTCGGAATACTTAGTCCCCTTATACTTTTGAAGAAGAGGACTTCAAACTTTACTCTTCACTCTTTACTGAACTCAAAACTTAAGTCTTAAAACAAAGATAAAACATTTGTAAAAGACTTCTTAAAATGTGGTTCGTGTCGAATGATGGACATGAACGACTCAATGCAAGGTTTTCAATAACCACAGATAGAACTCAAATACTTGGAACTCAAGAACTTCAATAATACTACTAATTTCAAGAATGCTCAACTCAGAGGGTTCATGCGGAATTATAACCATGAACGACTCAACTTAAGGACTCAAAGATACTTCTCTTCTCAAGACTGCTTGACTTATAGGATTCATGCGAAATTATGGGCATGAACAATTCAACTCAAAGACTTTGTGGGTAACATGTAATAGTCCCATGCTTAGAAATATAATCTCAAAGGGGATTAGGAACTCAATACTCAAGACTTAGAACTTGAAGATACTACTCCTCTCAAAGATACTCAACTTCTGGAGTTCATGAGGAATTTATGGGCATGAACGATTTGACTCGTAGGTCTACATAACATTATGAAACGCATGTATGTGAATCTTCTCATTCTCTGACTTACTTCCTCAAAACTTAGTTCAAATCGATAGTTGATCTCAAAGGATTCACAATTGAACTCAAAGGCTTTCTTGAACTCTTAACTCTCTCTTGAATTTGAATTATGACTTCAAGAGTTATGATTCATGATATGAAGGATCTCAATAACAATATAGCTATTCGATAATTAGGAATAGAACTTTTAAAAGAAACATGAATTCAAGAACTCAAAATCAACTTATCTCAAGAATATTCAAATCCAGGGAAGTATCCTAGATTACTCGTTTTCTGATTTGAAAGTAGATGTAGGGTGTGAGGACGAACTAGTCCAACACTATGGTAGCTTTACATACCTAGAAGAACAAGATTCTTGAAGAATCTTGAAGAAGAACTTTATTAGAAGCCTTGAAATCCTAGCTTGAAGGTAAACAATCAAGAAAACCTTTTTTGAGATTCTTTTCTTGAAATCTCTATGGCCAAGAATTATGATTTTCATGAGTGAAGATGAAAATCTGATTGTTTTGAGATTTTTAATTAGTCAAGAAATTCGTTGATGGTTTTCTTGGAGGTAAAAAGACAAAAACGATTACTTTCAATATTTTCCCGTCGGCTAATTCGTAACAGCACTGTATAGGTTACAAAAATAGTCATAACTTTTTACTTAGATATTGGATTGATGTGAAACTGGTGGGGTTGGAAAGTAGATTCAATTACCTTTAATTGGATAGGTTATGACTCACGTTACTCTTAATATTCTAAGAGATATGGTCGTTTAAAGTTGACCCAAGTAGAATTTTACATCAAAATTTAATGAAACTTCAAGAACACTTGTCAAGAACTCATCAAGAACTAAAATCCTTAAATTTCAAGAACGAAATTACGCTGAATAAATCATGATTGGCATGTGGGTGAAAGAACCCAACACTATGGAAGCTTACATACCTCTTAGGGATCAAACCCATGGCGAAAATCCGCTACAACACGCAAGAATCTCGACGAACGCTTGATCCTCTCCTCTTTTCTCCTCTTCTCTCTTCTTTTCTCTTCTTGAACTCTCAACTAAAACCCTAGGCTAATTTTAGGATTATAAAACTGAACCTAATAGGATTAGACCCTTAAAATATTACTAAAATCAAATTAAATCTGATTGGGTAAGGAAAAGACCAAAATACCCTTCTCTAATTTCGGCTAACCTTCCTTAACTGGACAGCCTATCTTCAAAAGGCCATATCTCACTCATCCGACCTCGAAACATAGCAAACTCCGCGGCGTTGGAAAGATAATTCAAAGATATTCGCTACGGTATCTGGTAGCACACGTAATTCATCCTGAGCTAGGAGTTATGGTTGTTTGAAGTCGACCCAAAACTCATACTTAAGCATAACTTGCAAAATTTCAGATTTTGCTATTTCCAATTTAATTCTTTTTGAAACTCAAGGTGCTACATCTAGTGACCTTAACACTTAAGAAATTTTAAACTCCTTGGTAAAATCTCACTCACTACGAAGAACGGTTCGAGTCTTAGTTCAAAAATTTTCTGGGGTGTTACAAATAATATTTTGATTTTTAGTATAAATTTTTTGTTATCAGATTTATCAACTATATGATTTACAAATTGTAAGCTTCCGCAGGACGCCCTAATCACCTTTCATATCCCAACACAATATTGAGGCTATGTTACCAATGGTGGCACTGAAGGCAATATCCATGGTATTTTGATAGGGTAAATTTTAGTTCTATATTTTGAGAAGATGTTATGACAAATTATACTGTTTTCACACTCTTACACTTCTTAACATTATTTGTGTAGGCGAGAGCTACTTCCTAATGGAATATAATTATATGTGTCAAAAGACTCTCATTACTCAGTCTTTAAAACTGCAAGAATGTATAGAATGGATTCGGAAACAATTAACACATCAGTAAATGGGGAGATGGATAATTCAGATTTAAGAGAAAAGTTGTTTCAAAATAAGGACAAACCAACAATTATAAACGTCACAATTGGTATGTATTTACTCCAACCTCTATCATTTTTCTTTCTTCTTTTATGAAGTAATTAGTCCTCTTACGACTTTTCCCTTGATGGTTCTTTTAATTATATATAGGAACTACGTTCAAAGGAGCTATTGATGATGTTGATGTTATTCTTGAAACACTCAAAGATTGTGGCGATTCACAAGATAGGTTTTACATCCATTGTGATGCAACACTATGTGGTCTTATGACCCCTTTTATAAACAATGTGAGCTTCAATTGCTTCTTACTTCTAACAAACTCTTTCGTAATTCTCAGAGCGACATTCTAATTATTCGTTGTGCAATTTCAACAGATGATTAGTTTCAAGAAACCAATTGGAAGTGTCACAATTTCTGGTCACAAGTTCTTAGGATGCCCAATGCCTTATGGTGTCCAAATAACAAGAAAAAGCTACATCAATAATCTCTCAACAAATGTGGAGTACATTGCTTCTGTGGATGCCACTATTTCTGATAGTCGTAACGGTTTAACTCCAATTTTCTTTTGGTATAGCTTGAGCGCAAAAGGTCAAATTGGCCTACAAAAGGATGTTAAAAGATGTCTTGACAATGCCAAATATTTGAAAGATCGTCTTCAACAAGCAGGGATAAGTGTCATGCTGAATAAGCTTAGTATCATAGTTGTACTTGAAAGACCTCGTGACCATGAATTTGTCCGTCATTGGCAACTTGCATGCGTCAAAGACATGGCACATGTTATCGTTATGCCAAGCATTACACGAGAAATGCTTGACAATTTCATGAGTGAACTAGTGCAACAACGAAAACAATGGTACCAAGGTGGAAAGGCAGAGGCTCCTTGTGTTGCAGATGATATTGGTGCTCAAAATTGTGCATGCTCTTATCATAAGATTGATTACATTAGTCCTTAGAAGACAAACAAGACAAGATCATCTGCCACATTAAAATTAATAGTGAATTGTATACTTGATTGTACTACTAGACGACATAATTGTATCAATTTTTAATAAAAAACTTTGGACAATCTTTTATGATATTTGTATAACATTAACTTACAGTTAATTCATATTTGAAACAAGACTATATCATCTTGTAGGAATAGTTGGTATATTTGAAACAAGACTATATCATCTTGTAGGAATAGTTAGTATATTTGAAACAAGACTATATCATCTTGTAGGAATAGTTGGTGTATTTGAAACATGTATTATCGTCATAACCTCTACATTTATTAGCTACTTGGAACCTCCTAAAATCATATATCAAAGTAAATTGAAATATATCTAGCTGTGTATTTCAAACATAAAAAGAGGTGTTGGACTTAAAAGATGAGTACATATCGATGATAGTTAGATCTGATGTTTCTCTCCGTTTGTTTGTTATGATCATTAGTGTTTTATTAATGAGGAATATTAGCCGAAATCTCCTGAGGCTCATAACTTAGAAATAATAGAGGTTAAATTATGACTGTTGCATAATGCTAAACTTAATATAGTTTACTTTGTGCATAATTAGGACAAGAAGTTCTTGACTGATTTTTGTTTTTTTAGTACGTATCACATGTATTGAATTTTTATTATATAGACTAATATTTTTCAGGGAAAATTGTGCATTATAGCAAACTATTAATTCAAAATAAATGTTATAGTTACAGTTTCATTTAATTCCAATTGGCAGCAAACATCTTGTCATTTGTCTCTCTCCCCTCTCTCTGAAATCTCGTTTGTCACTCTCATCTTTTTCAGTCATCTCTCTCGCCTCTCTCACTTTATACAAACACAAAAGTATAGTTTGTGTTTGTATAAAGCGAGAGAGACTGTATATACAAATACAAATACATATCTCTGATCTGTCCTATACACTTATAATTATACAAATACAAATCTTTCCATGTCCAGTTCTCTTTTCTCTCTCTCGCTTTACAATGTATAATTTGTATTTGTATAAAGCGAGAGAGAGATTTGATATACAAATACAAATGTTTAAACTTGATTCAATTGTATACTAATTCAAATTTTAAGCAGATATAACACAATCATTGATACATATACATAGTAGTTACATATATACAATTATCTAACTGATATACATATACAATTCATCTCTCTCCACTCTCTGGCCTCTCTTGCTCGCCTCTCTCCTCTCTCTCTCCCAATCTCACTCATAACTCTAGCCTAATATAGAGAACATATACATATACAAATACAATTTTCATAGACAGACGAATTAGCACCTGATTTATACAAATCGTCGCAATTTATACAAATCAGATGCTCCATAGCAAACATAATTTGGCAATGAAACACAAATAGAAAAACTATAGCTATAGAACACTAATATATTTTTTTATCTTTGCTATTCCTAAAATTTAATCTATTTTTCAATGATTAAGTAAAGTTTGTTTGATGTTGTTGTTGGCAGGCCAAAAGGCATTTATTTTGAAAAAAAAAAGTATTTTTTCTAAAAAAAATAAGTTGTTTGGCTAATCTATAAAACTGTTTTTAAATAGAAGCAAAAACAATTTTTCGGTTGTTGAGAAGAAGCTAAAAAAATTCAGTTTCTTAAAAAAAGCAGAAACAGAAGATAATTTATTTAAAGACTAAAATATCTCTACCATATATACATATTTATCAATATATCCCTTATATTTATTTATTTTGTGGTGGATTTAATTTGTGAAATAATTTTAAATCTATTTTTCTTGATATTTTAAATTATATTTAAGTAATATTAATTTATATCAATATTTAATATTTTTATTCATCTATGTGTAATATTAATTGAAAATTTGAATATCTATATTTTAATTTAATAAAAAAATAAAAATTTAATTAAAAAATTATAATATATATTTAAAATAATTTCTCTCAATAAATAATCTTAATATTAAAAGTGCATTATTACTTGTCCTTTTTCATAATTTGACTCTCAAAAATACTTTTTAAAAAAGATAACAAACATAATAACTTATCAAAAATACTTTTTAAATAAATTAACCAACCACAAATTGGTTCATTTTTCTCAAAAACACCTCCCTGAAAAGCTATTTAAAAAATAAATATTTTTTAGCAATAATACCAAATAAGATCTTAGTGTGAACAGAGTTAAAAAGACCAATTCAAAGGTTTGGCCAGTTCTTTTTTCGTGTTATTGGCATTTGGAGCTGTTGAACTGTTTGGCGATGTATGTTTGAGTGAAGTAGATTCCCTTATTTTTGGAATTTAGAGGGGAACAAAGGGCAAACTACATAAACCCCACTAGTTTATGTTCTAATTACTTATTAAGATTTCCAATAGTTTCAAATATTACTTCCTCTACCATATTTCATGCTTAAAATACACGAGTTGGAATCCGTGAGATAAATATATCTGTCAAATTTTAAAAGTGAGATACATATTTTATTTGTTTAAATTAATTGATTGTAACTGATTTTCCTTAAATATAGAAATGATTAAGGATTTTCAGAATACATGGACAATTATTTTTGAAAATTTAAATTATTCAAATCCAAGGCGAAAATCAAGGCATGTTTAATTTATTTATTTTATTATTCTTTGAAATACTAAATTCATTAATATTATTAATAAAAGATTAAAAAACATGTATATATTAGTCATTTAATTTGATTAATTTTATTTTATTACTCTTAAAATAATAAATCCATTAATTTGATGTATCTATTATCAAATATTAATATATGATGTATGCAACCAACTAAACACTTAGATACATAAACATCATACATGTACATCCATATGTATCATAGAAGTATCTAGATTTATTTAATGTCTTTGTTAGATGTATCTAATTTTAATTTCATATATCTTTTATATGTATCTAGTATTAATTTGATGTATCAAGTATTAGTTTCATACATTATATTCAAAAATATGTATTCCGGATACATAATAAGCATATACATATAATTATGTGTATCTAAATATGAAATGTAACTGAAATGCACAAATTTAGGAAAAATCACGATGGTAGAGTATCTGTTTATCATTAATCCAAAAAAAAGAGTAATTTTTTTCATAATTCTTCCCTTTTTAGCATCTCAAATTTTTCTCATAGATACATATAATATTAAGTTAAATACATGAACTCTTAAATTGAACTAATTTCTAAAACCTAATTTGTAAAACTTTTTTAAATTGAACATAAATGTGTTAAAATGATTACTTTTAACTAGTCTAAAATAAGTATATTTGAGTTGTTACTTTTAGTAACCATAACAAGTAAAATGGATGGGAACAAGTAATATTGAATTATTGGTGTGACACATTTATGTATCTGACTTAAGAACATAAGAACATTATGAATTTTAACTCAGATACATATCAAGATACATCAGAATAATAAAACAATAAAAACAAACTTATATGTAAAATACTGATTTGAACATGCAAACATGTATTGATCGAGAATGAAGAAATAAATTAAAGAGGGAGAAGAAGAAGAAAGAAAGTGGCTGCTGGACATGGGGTGGGGAACAATTGACGGTAGATGAGAATAGAAAAAGTTTAACTTGTTAATGAGCATTAATTAAGGAGTTTAAATTTAAGATAATTATTCAATTTTAAATTTAAGATAATTATTCAATAACATATTTAAGGGATTTGTGTATCTTAATAAATCTTTTAAAATATAGTATAAATATTAAAAGTGGTAATATATGTAATTATTTTAAACTAGAGATAAATGTAGTATATATGATAGTCATGTATGTGTGATTAGGTAATTTTTCCTTAAATGAAATGCTCATTGAGTTAAATTTTTCAGATAAAAAATAGTCCACTTAAAAAAAAATCTCTAATACAGAAAATGGTAAATAACCATTTTTTTCTCCAAAGAAATGGCACTCCTGCTTCTTCTTCATCATCCTCCTCCTCCTCCTCCTCCATTTTTCTTCTTCGTCCCTCTTTCTTTTAAAAAAATAAAATAAAAGAAAATAAAAAAATTCAACGATCTTTTTTTTAAATCGTAAATGTGAATTGTTTTTTGAGCGAATTATATATCAAAAGACTCAAAATAACAAGAAGATTTCATATTTAAAACTCAGGACTATTTAGAAGTGAATTTGGATTGATCAAGATTGAATAGTTAGTGTATATTTCATGTATAGTTAGTGTATACTTTATGTATAATTGAGCTATATTATGTTTTCTAGGTATATTATAATGTATAGTTAGTGTATAGCTCATGTATAGGTAATTACATTATGTTGTATAGTCGATGTATAGTTTCTATGACTTTTGGTTAGCTATATTGTATAGTTAGTGTATACTTTCTGACTTTTGGCTAGCTATATTGTATAGTTAGTGTATACTTCCTATGACTTTTAGCTATTTTTTTATGTAAATAAAACATGACTATATTTATTGTAAACTAATTACTTTATTGTATATATTTGATATTATCCTCAAAATAAATCCAACCAGTGAAAGCAAAATGCCGCGTACTTCTGTAGTTTGCAATTTTTTGGTCGAATTGCCTATTTTTTTGCTATTTGGTATTCACATCGAAGCACCATTAATTTGGATTGATGTTGCATATGGCTTATTCAAGATAATCGATATCTATTAAGGATTTTTTTATATCCAGGAATAGTAACTAACACCTTTAATTAAGGAAGAAACAATTATAGCAACCATGCACATATATAGTAAATTTTAAGTACGAATATCTAAAAGAAAAAAAATTGAATTTGAAAGGGGCTCATCAATTATATATAATCATAGT